TTGCTGGCGAGATTGTGTCTCCACCATCACCTCTGCTTCCTCTATGAGTGCAGTCTGGGAAAAAGCACGAAAACTGAGTGGTAAATATTCTCCTGACCCGGCTCCTGTTCTGCGGGTTGCCGGTGTTGATATTGCAAACCCACTAGATGTTCAATGTTGAAGTAGGTCGTGCCCAAGAATTAGGCAAGCGAAGAATTCCCAAGTATTAAGATCCCAAGAAGTTGCAGTGTCTGACAGGTTTGTAGATGAATGGTTCAGAGAACCGACATGTTGATAAATTAGACACATATGCAACTCTTGGGTATCTATATTGAGGAAACGTTTCGCCACACAGTGGCTTCATCAGTCCATACAAAGGAGAATCTTGAAGAACAGGAGGAGAATGAGGTAATCAGTCCCTCAAATGTTACACGACCTATGACTTCTGCACCTCTCCTGCCAACGGTTTATAAGCTCCTTCTCAGCACGTATGCCGTATTCTATTCAAGATTGATGGACTGACCACATCGACTCAAGGTTGAGGGACTGATTACCTCATTCTCCTCCTGTTCTTCAAGATTCTCCTTTGTATGGACTGATGAAGCCACTGTGTGGCGAAACGTTTCCTCAATATAGATACCCAAGAGTTGCATATGTGTCTAATTTATCAACATGTCGGTTCTCTGAACCATTCATCTACAAACCTGTCAGACACTGCAACTTCTTGGGATCTTAATACTTGGGAATTCTTCGCTTGCCTAATTCTTGGGCACGACCTACTTCAACATTGAACAAATGTTACACGACCTATGACTTCTGCACCACTAGATGTTGCCAATGAAATTGGCAATCATCTGGTCCGTATTTCTCAGGGGCTCCATCTATGCCCCTCGTTTCTTTCCTCAAAGTCTGCCAGAGAGTTAGCACCCTTGGACTTTTCTTCTCTCAGAGAAGAACAGTATAATGTGCCTTTTACACTTCAAGAACTGGAGGGAACACTCTCAGCTTGCCGATCATCGGCAGCTGGGCCCGACGACATTCATATTCATATGCTACAACATTTACATCAGTAAGCCCTTGCAGTCCTATTACGCCTTTACAATCTTATTTGGTCACAAGGAGTTCTTCCACAGCTGTGGAAATCTGCCATTGTTCTCCCTTTCTGCAAACCAGGCACTATGGGACATGAAGCCTCCCACTATCGTCCCATTGCTCTTACCAGTGCAGTTTGCAAAGTGATGGAACGCCTGGTAAATAGACGTTTAGTGTGGTATTTAGAGACACACAACAGTCTCTCCACTCGTCAATATGGCTTTCGTAAGGGACGTTCTACCATAGACCCCTTACTACGCTTGGATACGTATGTTCGTAATGCCTTTGCGAATAACCACTCAGTTATTGCCGTAGTTTTTGACCTTGAGAAGGCATATGACACAACTTGGAGGTATAATATTTTAGCCCAAGCCCACTCCTTAGGCCTTCGAGGCAATCTACCATCCTTCCTTAAGAATTTTTTAACTGACAGGCATTTCCGTGTTCGGGTTAATAATGTGCTCTCCCCGGACTTTATCCAAGCTGAAGGTGTCCCCCAGGAATGTGTTCTGAGCACAACACTTTTTCTCCTTGCTATTAATGATTTGGCCTCTAGTCTTCCATCAAATATTTGGTCATCACTCTATGTTGATGACTTCGCTATTGCCTGTCACCTCATTATAGTTTCTCTCCAGCATGCGGTTGACCGTGTTTCCAATTGGGCCACCACACATGGGTTTAAATTTTCCAGCACTAAAACCCACCAAATTACTTTCACTAGACGCTCTGTCATCTCCGATCATCCTTTGTACCTCTATGGCTCCCGTATCCCTGAACGTGATACAGTCAAGTTTCTGGGCCTCCTCTTTGACCGTAGGTTATCCTGGAAACCTCACATTACCTCACTGAAGGCAACTTGTCACAGCCGGCTGAACCTTCTTAAAACCCTTGCTCATCTTTCATGGGAGCTGATCGTCGAACCCTCCTTCGCCTACATTCCACCCTCATTTTATCGAAACTTGATTATGGTGACCAGATCTATTCAGCGGCATCTCCTGCTACTCTCTCTAGCCTTAACCCCATTCATCACCAAGGATTATGTTTATGCCTTGGTGCTTTTCACTCTTCCCCTGTCGAGAGCCTCTATGCAGAAGCGAACGTTCCATCCTTATCCGATCGCCGTGATGCCCATTGCCTTCGCTACTATGTACGCTCTCATGATCTCCGCAATCCTTCCATTTATAGAATGGTCACTGATATTAGTAGACATTCTTTATTTGTTCGCCGCCCCTGTTTACTCCGTCCCTTCTCTCTTCGCCTTCATTCGCTCTTGTCTTCTCTTCAATTACCACCTTTCTATGTTCTTGTAGCATCTCACTTTTCCCTACCCCCCTGGGAAGTTCCAGCTGTTCGAGTCTGTTCTTTCTCTCTCCCTTGCTCGAAAGCCCAACTGTCTACGGTCGCTTCCCCGCTCCCTTTTCTTGACCACTTCCACTCTCATTCTCATGCCATTGCTGTGTACACAGATGGCTCTAAGTCTTCTGACGGCGTAGGATTCGCAGCAGTGTTTCCAGACAGCATCGTACGAAGGCATTTACTATCTTCGGCTAGTATTTTTACTGCTGAATTGTATGCCATCCTTGCAGCACTTATCCGTATTGCATCTATGCCTGTGTCATCATTTGTGGTTGTCTCAGACTCCCTTAGTGCTTTACAGGCTATACAGAAATTTGATACACCTCACCCCTTAGTCCTCCGTATCCAACTTTGGCTACACTGCATCTTTACCAAGCATAAAGATATTGTTTTTTGTTGGGTCCCTGGTCATGCAGACATACAGGGCAATGAACAGGCAGACACTGCTGCGCTGTCAGCAGTACATGACCTACCAGTTTCATATAGAGGTATTCCATGTATGGACTATTTTGCTGCAATATCTTCCCACCTTCACACCCGTTGGCAACAACGTTGGTCTACTATGCTCGGCAACAAACTTCAGTCTATTAAACAGAGTATAGGTTACTGGCCGTCTTCTTATCACCAGTGTCGAGGTTGAGAGACTACTCTCTCCCGTCTTCGCATTGGCCATACTCGTCTTACTCATGGATATCTCATGGAGAGGCGCCCTGCTCCTCTCTGTGAGAATTGCCAAGCTCCATTATCAGTCAGCCACATTCTGTTGGACTGCCCACTTTATCAACGAGCACGCAGAATTTACCTCCGTCGTCGTCTTCGCTCTGCTGCTCTCTCTTTACCTTCCCTTCTCGCTGGTGGACCCACCTTTCATCCGGACTCTCTCATTGACTTTTTGACAACAACTGACTTCCTTCACAAATTCTGATACCTTCAGCCCTTTCTACTTCAATCTCTTGCTACCCTCTACCCCCGTACTATCCCCTGCCCCGCTGTTTTCTGTAACCTACTGATCATCCCTCCTCCCTTCTGCCACCCAATACCCTCGCTTCCTTCCCTACCCTGCAGCGCTGTATAGCCCTTGTGGCTTAGCGCTTCTTTTTGATTATAATAATAACAATAATAATATACATACAACACATGTAAAGGAGGATCAGCAACTATGCTGACAGCGCGGTCAGGCACTAGTAATACTGTCACTCCTGTCTGGACTCCAGCCACAATATCGTGCACGCAGGATAGTGTACAGTTACCTTGGGTTTCAGAGGAACCTCAGACAACCCTGGGTGCTGAGACTACTATCCCTGCGATGGCAACATGTTCAAGTACTCGTTCCTTCCCAGGGGACGCTGTGAGAAGAATTTTACTTGCAACGAGTTATGCCATCTCTTGCTGATGCCACAAGGTGTTGCAGAAAGACGTTTCTGTGGCTAGTGTACTCACTTGAATGTTGTTGTTGTCCCTTGTGTTCCAGATGGTGATCCCATCCTAGTTGACAGTAATAAGTGCAATGTAAGAAGTTGTTTCTCGAGTAACTTTCACATGTTGTTAACGTTTGTAAGTGAAGTTTCTTTATAGTTGATACCTCGTGTCACTGTGTGCAACTCAGATTGAATATCAGAATTGTTGACCGTGTTCATTTCTTTTCCCCTGTGCTTGCAGTGAGAGATAGTAGATTCGTTCTCCCTTGCTCATATTGCGTGTTATAGCGTTATTTTTTTTCAACCGGGGAGAGTCATCCACTCCACCGAGTTTGTTCATTCCTCCAGTAAGAAAGAACCAATCCCTTGTGTTCTGGTGTGATTCGATTCCTGCTCCAGGAAGATCTTATTCTGACACTTACACCGTGCTTCAAGGAGTTTCATATATACTCCAGCATTTCTAAAACATTGCTTGTACCTGGCAGAAAAGGCAAAAATCATTTCTTATTTATAAATACATTTTTCTTATTTAAAAACCTGTAACAAAAAAATTGGGGTGGTTTTTTGAGGGCTGGAACGGATTAATGGCATTTCAGCTAATTTCAGTGAGGAAAATTGATTTGATATACGAGCAAATTGAGTAATGAGCTGGGTCATGGAACGAATTAAACTCTTAAGTCAAGGTACCACTGTACACAGTACATACAATACTTACCTTAAAATACGTTGCCGGCCTCCCTTCCCTTATGCAACTGTCATGGAAAAATGGCAAAAAGTGGTAAAAGCACCGAACATAATGAACAAAGGCTCTATTGAAAGCTGATTAAAACGTGGAACACCAAAAAGGAAGTGCCAAATAAGTGAGGCTCTCTTGTACTAGAGGTGGGAAATACAGTACCTGCATTCTGAAGGAGGGTAAGGATGTTGCAGTGTCAGTACACTTCTGGCAAGACAATGATTGAATGACTGAGAATGAATGTTTCCTGTGTGTTGGGTCAACCTACCTCAGCAGATGACCAGTGTGTTAATAAAAAAAAAAAATGTAGCACAAAGATGCTTGGTTTTGAAAGAGATAAATTTCCTTCAGTAAATAGTTTTTTACAAACTATAATTTATATAATAATGCAATAGTATATATATAAATCAAATTTGCAGGTCTGTCTAATAAGGTGGACAACAGTGAACTTTTGAGCCTGGATTGTACCATCACTGTAGCAGTTGTGAGACATGAGGGGCAGCAAGGCTCTCCTACAACCCTCCTTTCTGTACATGAAGTGGAATGGCGCTCCTTGCTGACACAGCCCTCAGGCACTACCAAGATTGTATGCCAACTGATGGGCATAGGTTGGTCTGAAAGGCAAAAAGAGAGGGAAAATTAAATGATGCTTTCTATCTTATACTTTCCTGTTACTTACTAATGGAGAATTTTAGCTGGTTAATTTAAAGTAAAAATGCATCATAGAAAATTATTCTTGGAACTTTGGTACTGTTATAGTATATTTGAAAAAAAACAAACAAACACACACACACACACACACACACACACACACACACACACACACACACACACACACACACCAAAACACACACACACTCACTCACTCACTCACTCACATCACCCCACTCACTCACCCCCACTCTCTCTCACTCTCACTCTCTCTCACTCTCACTCTCTCTCACTCTCTCTCACTCTCCCCTCACTCTTTTCTCACTCTCTCTCTCTCTCTCTCTCTCTCTCCTCTCTCTCCCCTTCCCCTCTCTCCCCTCTCTTTACACAGGGTTTGACAAGGTTAAGGATCCCTAGTTTTATTGACAAGCTATTTACAGGTTAAGGATTCCTAACTTTATTGACAAGCTATTTACAGGTTAAGGATTCCTAACTTTATTGGCAAGCTAAGAGCTGTTACCTACATCAGCTCATTTGAAAGCATTTTACTGTCTGTCTGTCTCACACACACACACACACACACACATACATACATATATATGTGCACATACAGTAGACCATCAATTAGGATGCGATCTTTTGGGATGTTTTCATTGTATATGATGGTTGAAAAATTGTGCTATTTTTCATGCATAATGCTGTGAATTACATGACACTGCAAATTTAGGAGAAAAATATGGAATGCTGCAGGCCCTTTCCCTTCACCTCATGACTAACCTATGGGTCAGGTTATTGTCTCTATGAGCTGGCCTAGTCACACTTAATATACACAGCCTCCCACACCTCAGTTCTCTGTACATACACATCCCATACCATAATCAGCTTTGTGTTATTGAATCATCTTTTTTTTATCTTTTCATCATAGTATCTCATGTCTCAATAGTAACCATGGCACCCAGGAGGCATTCTAATGATGCTGGACGTGGCAAGAAGTTTAATCCTTTGGGGGTCCACAGGCCAAATCTCAGAGTGACAGCCAGGGTCCAAGAATTTAAAAAAAAAAATTTTGTTACTTTTTCTCATGAAAGGGTAGAGAATCTTTTTCTGAAGGTAATAAAACAAAAGTACAAAATTTGATGGAAAATTGACAAAATCGTGCTCTTGTGAATTTTGCTGCATCAGCGATATTTACACATCGATGATTTTGCTGACTTTGACTCCCATTTTAGGCCAATTACATTATTCCAGTTGGCCAAATTCTTAACTATTTCGCTGGTATTACTTCCATTTTATCGATTGAGCACAAGAAATCGCCCCAGTCAACTGTCTCAACTACCCAATAAAGTGATCGGAAATTGGTAATTTGGCCAATTTAACACAAAGTTCAAAATACAGTGGAACCTCTACTTGCGAGCGCATCCACATGAGAGTTTTTCCAAATACGAGCAGTCGATGGGTTGATTTTTTGCTTCCATGCGCGAGCAAAATTTCCATTAGCGAGCAGACCTCAAGGGAGGTTCCTTGATGCTGGTGAGGGACTCTTGCTCTTGATCTAGGGAATTGTATCTCATTTGTTTGTTGGACTATCTTATTGAAACTTGGGCAATGTATGATGGAAAGATGCTTCTTAACGTACACCAAAAATGAAAGAAATCTGAGCATAAATAATGGAGTTCACTTCTCAGCAATTAGCCACCCCTTAGTGGAATTTTCGTATGGTTTTTATGGTTGTATTCTTGTTTATTTATATTGTTTGTTATTTATATTGTTTATTATGTCATATTAGATCAAGTGAGATAAGCCGTAAAGTTGATATTAGTGAAATCATTGAAGTACAGAATTCCACTGGAACGGACTAATTGCATTTCAGTTAATTTAAATGAGAAAAATTAACTCTGCAAACAAGCAAATCCAGTTGCGAGCAAGGTCATGGAACAGATTAAACTCGCAAGTAGAGGTTCCACTGTATTCCAGTTTCAAAATAGGGTCCAGAATAAACAGTGCAGGCATTCCTGGCACTAAACTAACATTTTCTCTATTTATTAGTTACATTTTCAGGTTTTACAAATGAATTCCATTTTGATTTTTTATTTACATAATGAATTTTTATTCACACCAAAAAATAGAAGATTTACTGTTATGCAATATTGTAATAATTGTATAAATAATATCAGCATGTTCGTGAACATATATTAGACCCACCAGCTGATGTATATTAGATGTGTGACATCATTTGTTACTCTTGAACATTAGGAAAAATTGAACATTTCTATTACATTGAGCTCAGTTTTAAGCCATTTTCAGTACTAAAACCAATCAAAATCATCTTTTTTTCTGTAATATATCTTCAAGTCTATCAAATGAGACCAAGAAATCGCGAATACAACTGTAAAAAAACTTACGAGAAAACACCGCAGTCGCTGTTTTAATCCAAAAATATGGTCACAGTTTTTCTTCTCATTATGCACTGTGTGCTGCAGTATTTGTTTTATGTGGTGCACACTTACCACACACGTATTCTCTCATATCTAGGCCTAAATTTACCGCTCACAGCTTATCACTGGTCAACAGTTTTTGAAAAGTTGTATGCTTCTTAAATTTTTTTTTTTTTTAACAAGTCAGCTGTCTCCCACTGAGGCAGGGTGACCCAAAAAGAAATAAAATCCCCAAAAAGAAAATACTTTCATCATCATTCAACACTTTCACCTCACTCACACATAATCATTGTTTTTGCAGAGGTGCTCAGAATACAACAGTTTGGAAGCATATACGTATAAAGATACACAACATATCCCTCCAAACTGCCAATATCCCAAACCCCTTCTTTAAAGTGCAGGCATTGTACTTCCTATTTCCAGGATTCAAGTCCGGCTATATAAAAATAACCGGTTTCCCTGAATCCCTTCACTAAATATTACCCCGCTCACACTCCAACAGCTCCTCAGGTCCCAAATACCATTTATCTCCATTCACTCCTATGTAACACGCTCACGCATGCTTGCTGGAAGTCCAAACCCCTCTCCCACAAAACCTCCTTTACCCCCTCCATCCAACCTTTTCGAGGACGACCCCTACCCCATCTTCCTTCCCCTACAGATTTATACGCTCTCCATGTCATTCTACTTAGATCCATTCTCTCTAAATGACCAAACCACTTCAACAACCCCTCTTAAGCCCTCTGACTAATACTTTTATTAACTCCTCACCTTCTAATTTCCACACTCCAAGTTGTCTGCACAATACATACTTACACCACACATTGCCCTTAGACAGGACATCTCCACTGCCTCCAACTGCCTCCTCTGCAGCATTTACAACCCAAGCTTCACACCTATATAAGAGTGTTGGTACTACTATACTTTCATACATTCCCTTCTTTGCCTCCTAGATAACGTTTTTTTGTCTCCACATATACCTCAATGCACCACTCGCCTTTTTTTCTTCATCAATTCTATGATTAACTTCATCCTTCATAAATCCATCCGCTGACACATCAGCTACCAAATACATATCTGAAAACATTCACTTCTTCCATACTCCTCCTCCCCAATTTGATATCCAATTTTTCTTTATCTAAATCATTTGATACCTTCATCACCTTACTCTTTTCTATGTTCACTTTCAACTTTCTACCTTTACACACACTCCCAAACTCATCCACTAACCTTTGCAATTTTTCTTTATAATCTCCCATAAGCACAGTATCATCAGCAAAAAGTAACTGTGTCAATTCCCATTTTGTATTTGATTCCCCATAATTTAATCCCACCCCTCTCCCGAACACCCTAGCATTTACTTCTTTTACAACCCCATCTATAAATATATTAAACAACCATATTTGATTACTATTTTTTTTTTTTTTTTTTTTTTTCTCAACAAGTCGGCCGTCTCCCACCGAGGCAGGGTGACCCAAAAAAGAAAGAAAATCCCCAAAAAGAAAATACTTTCATCATCATTCAACACTTTCACCACACTCACACATTATCACTGTTTTTGCAGAGGTGCTCAGAATACAACAGTCTAGAAGCATACACATATAAAGATACACAACATATCCCTCCAAACTGCCAATATCCCAAACCCCTCCTTTAAAGTGCAGGCATTGTACTTCCCATTTCCAGGACTCAAGTCCGACTATATGAAAATAACCGGTTTCCCTGAATCCCTTCACTAAATATTACCCTGCTCACACTCCAACAGATCGTCAGGTCCCAAGTACCATTCATCTCCATTCACTCCTATCTAACACGCTCACGCACGCTTGCTGGAAGTCCAAGCCCCTCGCCCACAAAACCTTTACCCCCTCTCTCCAACCCTTTCGAGGACGACCCCTACCCCGCCTTCCTTCCCTTTAGATTTATATGCTTTCCATGTCATTCTACTTTGATCCATTCTCTCTAAATGACCAAACCACCTCAACAACCCTCTTCTGCCCTCTGACTAATACTTTTATTAACTCCACACCTTCTCCTAATTTCCACACTCCGAATTTTCTGCATAATATTTACACCACACATTGCCCTTAAACAGGACATCTCCACTGCCTCCAACCGTCTCCTCGCTGCTGCATTTACCACCCAAGCTTCGCACCCATATAAAAGTGTTGGTACACTATACTTTCAACATTCCCTTCTTTGCCTCCATAGATAACGTTTTTGACTCCACATATACCTCAACGCACCACTCACCTTTTTTCCCTCATCAATTCTATGATTAACCTCATCCTTCATAAATCCCATCCGCCGACACGTCAACTCCAAGTATCTGAAAACATTCACTTCTTCCATACTCCTCCTCCCAATTTGATATCCAATTTTTCTTTATCCAAATCATTTGACACCCTCATCACCTTACTCTTTTCTATGTTCACTTTCAGCTTTCTACCTTTACACACATTCCCAAACTCATCCACTAACCTTTGCAATTTTCTTTAGAATCTCCCATAAGCACAGTATCATCAGCAAAAAGTAACTGTGTCAATTTCCCATTTTGAATTTGATTCCCCAAAATTTAATCCCACCCCTCTCCCGAACACCCTAGCATTTACTTCCTTTACAACCCCATCTATAAATATATTAAACAACCATGGTGACATTACACATCCCTGTCTAAGACCTACTTTTACCGGGAAATAGTCTCCTCTCTTCTACACACCCTAACCTGAGCCTCACTATCCTCATAAAAACTCTTTACAGCATTTAATAACTTACCACCTATTCCATATACTTGCAACATCTGCCACATTGCTCCTCTATCCACTCTATCATATGCCTTTTCTAAATCCATAAATGCAATAAAAACTTCCCTACCTTTATCTAAATACTGTTCACATATATGCTTCAATGTAAACACTTGATCTACACATCCCCTACCCACTCTGAAACCTCCTTGCTCATCCGCAATCCTACATTCTGTCTTACCTATAATTCTTTCAATTATAACTATTTTATTATTTTATTACTATTTATTACTATTACTATTACTATTATTATTATTATTATTACTATTATTACTATTATTACTATTATTACTATTACTATTTTTTATTACCATTTTATTACTATTTTATTATGTATAATATGTGTCGGTATGTTTTAAACTAATCCTTACCTACTCTCTGCCTTTTTGCTCGACACTTATAGTGAGCTGAAGAATCATCTCTTGCCAATGTCCAGCAATAGTCTGCAAGTATTCTTGTGTCACATTTGCCCTGGTACCATTTTACCATGGTTGAAATATCTTGGTGAAGCCTTTCACCATGTTCATCGCTAACTGCCCAACAGTTTGTGAGTCCAAAAAGTGGATTTTAAGTGACATGTTACATCCGATGTTCTTGTAAGCCTTGATGAGGTTTTCCACCAATTCTTCATAGGTGCCTTCCCTTCTGCTTCCGAGAAATCCCTTTGCCACTAACTTGAATGCATCCCAAGCAGCTTTCTCCTCCCCATGAAGGTTTGGTTCAAAGTCACCATCTTTAAGAAGCTCTCGAATCTGAGGACTATTGAAGACTTCCTCTCTTATCTTAGTATCGCTCAGTGAGGGAAATTTTGATGTTAAATACTTGAATCCCTGACCGGATTTGTCCATAGCTTTTACAAAGATTTTCTTGAGCCCCATTTTTTTGTGTAGTGCTTGTAGCAAAATTTTTTGGTTCAATGAGAGGTGGATGTTGAACATTTTTCATCCCAGGCTCCAATGATTGACGAAATGGCCAGTCTCTCCTGATGTAGTGGGAACCTCTTGCATGGCTGTCCCATTCACACAGAAAGCAGCAGTACTTGATGTATCTGCCCTGCAAGCCCATCACTAGAGCAGCAACCTTTAAGTCACCACAGAGCTACCATTGATGTTCATCATATTTCATGCATTGCATGACAGCTAAGCAGAAGTATTTATATCATTCACTAGGAAAATAAAATTAATATACTAATGTACCTCACATGCATAGCTATAGCTTGCTCAGTAAATATTTATTGTGAGTTTAAAAAGTGTTTGGCTAAGAAAACCACTTGCCTTTCACCTTATAATATAAACATGCACAGCACAACCACCTTCTATGACTGCTGGAACAATAATGAAGGGCAGTGAGACTGTGAGTGTGGTAAGAAACACACTGCCACAGGCTTGTTGGAACCTGTTGTGACATGTAGGTATGTATTGAAAAGTAGAGCTAACAAACAATTTTAACCATGATATTCATTATCAGTGACCTAAAATTAGTTGGAAATTGCTACTCTGGTCTCAGAAGCATTTTGGTTGTTGACCAGTGCTGAGTGAGCTGAGCTCAAGCTGTAGTTCTATGACTTGGACCCAGGTTTTGAAGCCATAGAACTATGGGACAGACCCTCAAAGGGTTAAGCATGAAAATCTTGGTGTTTTGAAAATCAAGATACTTTATTAGATAAGAATAAGAGTAGTGCACACATGGTGAAGATGGTATGAGCTAATGGTTTCAATGAAACATCATGTAAAGTAAAAGGACACAAGTGCAACTAATGTGACATTTTATTGTAGCAACGCTTTGCTCTCCAGGAGCTTTGTCAAGCGAAACGTTGCCACAATAAAATGTCACATTAGTTGCACTTGTGTCCTTTTACTTTACATATTGTCGGTAATTACTACAAACATTATTACAATGAAACATCAGTTTGTTCAGTTTCTTCTGGATCATAATAGCTGAAGACAGAAAAATTATTGAGTAGATTACAGTGCTCATTATTAAAGTTTGCCTGGGGCCTCCAACAGGCAAGCTTTAATGTTGAAAATAATGTTAGGATTTTGTAGCAACAGAACTGTTTGTTGACCTGGCAAAATGTAGTGTGATATCAGGTCTGCTATGCAACTTGCTGTATGCTCAGTGCTTTCTGAACTTGTGTGGTGGATAGTGTGTGTGTCTATGGTCCCTACATCATTTGCTCCTGAGTTACAGGGGGGTGTCAGACATTTTGTGCTGTAGATGAATTAATATGGAGAAGAATAGTCTGACATAAGATAAAATAGCCCAGATCATTGGATTACGTAAGGCAGGCCATAAAATGAAGGAAATGGTGGAGGCCGTTATGTGTGTGACCATACAGTGAGGAACTGGATATGTTGATTCTGTGAGAAAGGTGGTGATGACATGCCCACACTAAAACCATGTCAGGGGAAGCCAAGGAAAACACCTCCAGATATGTCTTATTCCAGCAGTGAACAAGAAGTAACCTATTGGTTTACTAGACATGGAGGCAACATTAGTTCCAGCAATGGCATATCCTCTGCAAGCTTCAGTTGTTTCCAAGTACCTTCAGGAGAAGAAAGACTCTTGTAGGAGAAAGAAGACGACTCTTCAACACTTATGCACAAAAGTGGTGGCAGGAGTATTTGGATGCTTCAGCTAGTCATTCATCAAGATTACTCCAGTTGTTTGCTATGGATGAATGTGGAAAATACAGGTAAATCTGTTATAAACTTGATAGAAAGTTAGAATTTGAATTTGGTGTAATGTCTGAAATGAGACAGTCAAGTATAATATACAGTAATGTATACTTAAATCCTTCCTCCATAAGCCATGGGTTTCGTAACAGGTGACTAAAATGTTGGGAGCAAGAAGCTAATAACCCCTTCTCCTGTATATTTTTTTTCAACACTGGCCATCTCCCACCGAGCCAGGGTCACCCAGAAAAAAGAAGAAAAACTTTCACCATCATTCACACATAATCAGTTTTTTTTCAGAGGCACACAGATACCACAGTTCAGGTGTCACTCCAAACAGCAAATATCCAGACCCCTCCTTTAAAGTGTAGGCATTGTACTTCCCACCTCCAGGTCGCCCTGCCTTGGTAGGAGATGGCCAGTGCATTGGAAAAATAAAGCACACTTAAAACATACTTGTCTTGCTGTTTCAAAATGACTCTTCATCTAGGCAGGTGTTCTTTCCATACTTATATTTAAATTAAATTTGATTTTCAGTTTGGTATGTTTGGACTGGATGTTTCACTATTGAGGCTATAATTCTTTTCTGTATATTTTATCATATATTTAAGGAACAATCATCATTTCTTTATAATCAAACACATTTTGTCCTGTACATCATGAACTTTTGATGAAATGTGGATTTTTTTATGTGAAAAAGGCTGTACTTTCCCCCAAGTGATCCACCAAAAGTGTAGATGGTTTTAAAAATTTTTTCACTATCTGACAATTCTCATTTTTAGTGCAAGTAGAAATCTGTTTCCCTTGCACTTCTTTCCTCATGGGGGCCAACAAAAACCATATGCATACTTTACACAAAAATTTTTTACTTGCATAGGTTGGAGCTCTCCTGTAGAAGGAGGCATACCATGAAGTCCATCCATCACATACATTAGGTTTTAGTTTTTTGCAACTTTTTTTGATTTTTTTGTGTTTCTTTCCTTTTACAAAGCTTTAAATTGCAATTATTTCCAGATTTTTGTTGAATTTGTGCAAGGGTTTGGGTGGGACGATTGCTAAAGCACTGAGGGCAGCCGTTATCAAGCGTTTTGCCCTCCCGGGCCCAACCATAAAACGGCTCCAATAAAAAGTGGGAACCCTTGCTTAGCTCTCATTGCCGCTCCTGGAAGCAGGGGTGAGTGTTCTTGAATAAAACACTTTCACACCCCTTACTTGAGGGAAATCATAAATACCAAAAATGATGGGGAAAAAAAAAAAAGGAAAAAAGCCTAGAGTGTGACTTTATTGGTGATGTTTTTACCCCTTTTTGAGCAAAATTCACTAAAATTGCATTATAGGATTTTTTCTTTTTTCCCCCCCGTCTTCGAGAGATGGGTTTGGGACAACATTTTAACAGTCTAAAAATAGTCATAAATGGAGCCCCTAATACGGGAACCGTTTAAAAAGTTGAAGTGATGCAAAGTAATCAGGCCCATTAGTGATCAGGATTTGCATGGGGGTTTGAAATTGTAGAGTGGGGGCGTTTTAAGTTTATTTAGGCACAGGTACATAAAATACTTATAAAGTTTTCATACAAACCATATTGTAATTTCCTAGGGAAAACCCCAAAAATCACAAGGGGACTTATTTCCATTTTTTCATACTCACAAATCGTAATGACACATTGCTAACGCAACGGTCTGGAGTTTCGAGACTCTCTGATCGCGGGGTTTTAACCCCGTCCGTGGTATGGTTTTTTTTTTTTTTTCCATTGGGGGCCTTAAGATAGTCAAAGGGGTGGAGCCCCCCTAGTGAAAGTAGGTCGTCCCATAATTTTTAAAAATAACTTAAAATGGAGAAGTAGAAATTTCCCCTTACCAAAATTCCCTGATGCTGCTGTGTCAGACAATATAAATTTAAACAAGGGTTTTAAAATTGAACTTGGAAAAATAGTTTAATCTTATAAATGACATTTCAACCCAATAACAGGTTTTTTGAAGTAAAACAAAAACAGATGACAGAGCCTTTTATGCTGAGCTGATGCCTGACTCCCCTCATGGCCATTGCACATGTGACCCCCCTTTATTGCTACTCCTTTTAGGCTTCAGTAAAAAAAGGGCCCGTTCTCACGTCCTTATTAGTTGATAAAGTCTGCTGAGGGGGCAAAAAAACATCAAAAGGATCACAGGGTTACAGGTCTTTTCATCAACTTGTTGGATTTTTAGCTTTACCAAGATCATGCGTTAGAATGGAATCTGACAATATACTCTGCTTCGAAATTGCAGTGTCTGGCACACTTCTGCAAAAACGTTATTGAATGAGTGACTGGCATGTTTTTTTTTGATGGTTACTCTGTCTTGGGGAAGAAAAAAATGTGTTTAAAAAAAATCATAATTCCTAATGTTCTTAAATACAATAAAAATTTTCATGACCCGTAATATTTGTTTAATTATGCTCAGTTTTTTCCAAAATTCTTTTCGTAACAGAAAATTATCTTCAAATTTTCCCTTTTTCAGGGGACTGAAACAAATGCTGTTTTTTTGGTAGCATATTGTTGGGATATGGGCCCGAGCATGGTGTTGGGTGGGAAACCCGGGGATCAGGGGGGTCCCATGCCCGGGCATGACACAGGGCCTTATGTGCTCACTTTCTGGGAAACAACAAAGGGAATGTTGTAAGTTTCTCTTGAAAATAAATGGCTTTCAAAATGTATTTACAGTAATGTTTTTTACTTGAAAAAATTGTTCTTAAAATTTTCCCCAAAATTTGAGCCATTTCTTTGCCATTAAGGCATTAATACAAACTTTCCCTTTAAAATTTATTTAAAAGTGCACTTAAAAAAGCATTTTTAGAAATTTTTTTCTGTATTAAAGTTCTTTTATGTTTAAAAAATTTCCCAACATTTTTTTTAATAAAACTCTTCCTTTAGGCAATTGGTGACAAAATTTTTCCCTTTTAAAAAATACGGGGATTTTTTATCTACAAAACAAGACTACTACCAATTTATTTAAACCTAAATAAGATTAAAAGGCAAATAGAATGATTTCTTAATTTTTAGAGGATTTTTGAAAATTCTAAAAATTTAAAAATATTTTTTTGAAGATTTTTAAAATTTATGAAATTCTTTTGAAGAATCTAAAATTGACAGTATTTTTTGAAAATCAAAACTGACACACTAATTTTTGCAAAATTATTTGCTTTGGCATGTTAACCCTTTAACTGTCAGACTTTTTGATCAGTGCATCTCCACCAGCACCCCAAAATATTAAAAAAAAAAAATGGTTGATTTTGTAAGTGTTTTAATACTGTAACAACCAAAATTTAAGGTCAATACTTACTGAATATAAGGCCACAAAGTTGGCACTGGATGCTCACTTTGGCAACATGGAGTCCTGATTCTTGTAGAATTTTTGCAGATATACCATTTTTTTCTCTCTTATTTATTTAATTTATGTAGTTTTTTATATTCCAATAATTACAGTTTATAGTAGATCTTGTGATTTCATAGCCAACGTTGTTCTAACACAAATATTAAGTATGGAAATAGTAATCAGACAGTCACAAACACACATTTACACACCTGCCTTGATCACATATTTTTGTTTTACAAATACGGTACGTATATATAAATTATTTATAGGCCCCACAATGTTTTTTTTAGAAGTCTCTAAGTGAAATGAAACTCTCTGAAGCATGGTGTCAGACATGTGGCCCCCTACATTGTTGATGGTCCAGTGAACCTTGGCATATGGCATATGTTTTCTATTCTCACTATTCACACATACATAAGCATGCCTATGGCAAGGAATGAGACATATCAGCCATTAAAAGTTTTATCCCAGAGCAATTATGTTTGCTTGGTATATATTGCTTAAACCGCAGGTGTCATCTGAACAAGAATCAATGACTGACGTGGTAGTTTGTGGACCATACTGCGCTATAACTGTGCTTGTAGTTATGAGGGCATAGACATGGCTGGCAAGGAATATTACACATTCTAGCTGCAGTTATATCTTTCCACTTGTGCAGCCATGGTGATTCTGCTACATATGTAATACCTGTTCATTTTGGCTGGCTATCAGGGTCATCATTGACCATCAAAGTACAGTTGGAAGTACTCTAATCTCTTTCAGAGAGAGAGAGAGAGAGAGAGAAAGGGGGGAGAGGGATGAGGGAGAGAGAGCAAGTCAGCCAGCTAGCTGGCTGGCTGGCCTGCAGACCACTTATAAGATCTTAAGGAAATTTGATACCTCATCCAAGAACATTTTATTGTGCACTAATCACTTTAACCCTAGAAGGTAGACTCCTAGAAATAGTGTCTATCTACACCCAAGTACACTCTATCTGGTGAGGACAAATATTGCAATATTATTGTACTAAACAGACTTTATTGTTGATCTCAAGGAGCATCAAATAAGTAACAACCACTGAAGTCAGTGTGAGACTTATCACAATTCCATTTCACGTCCCACACAAAGTCGCGGCGTCTCCCCCTGAGGCAGGGTGACCCCCAAAAAAAAAGAAAATCCCAAAAAGAAAATACTTTCATCATCATTCAACACCTTCACTTCACTCATACATAATCATGTTTTGCAGAGGTGCCCAGAGCACAACAGTTTAGAAGCATATATGTCTGAAGATACACAAACTATCCCTCCAAACTGCCAATGTCCAAACCCCTCCTTTTAAAGTGCAGGCATTGTACTTTCCCTTTTACCCCGTAAATCAAGTCCAGTATATAAAAATAACAGGGTTTCCCTGAACCTTCACTAATATTGCCCTACTCAAACTCCAACAGCTCCTCAGGTCCCAAATACCATTTGTCTCCATTCACTCCTATCTAGCATCACTCACCATTGCTTGCTGGAAGCCCAACCCTCGCCCACAAACCTCCTTTACCCCTCCCTCCAACCCTTTTTGAGGATGACCCCTACCTCGCCTTCTTTCCCCTACAGATTTATACACTCTCCATGTCATTCTACTTTGATTCATTCTCTCTAAATGATCAGACCACCTCAACAACCCCTCTTCAGCCCTCTGACTAATACTTTCATTAACTTCACACCTTCTAATTTCCGCACTCCAAAAGGACATCTCCACCGCCTCCAACTGCCTCTTCGCTGCAGCATTTACAACCCAAGCTTCACACCCATATAAGAGTGTTGGTACCACTATACTTTCATACATTCCCTTCTTTGCCTTCATAGATAATGTTTTTTTTTTGTCTCCACATGTACCTCAATGCACCACTCACCTTTTTTCCTTCATCAATTCTATGGTTAACCTCATCCTTCATACATCCATCTGCTGACATGTGAACTCCCAAATATCTGAAAATATTCACTTCTTCCATACTCCTCCTCTCCAATTTGATATCCAGTTTTTCTTTATCTAAATCATTTGATACCCTCATCACCTAAGTCTTTTCTATGTTCACTTTCAACTTAATACCTTTACACACACATCCAAACTCGTCCACTAACCTTTGCAACTTTTCTTTAGAATCTCCCATAAGCACGGTATCATCAGCAAAATGTAACTGTGTCAATTCCCATTTTGTATTTGATTCCTCATAATTTAATCCCACCCCTCTCCCCAACACCCTAGCATTTACTTCTTTTACAACCCCATCTATAAATATATTAACCCTTTGAGGGTCGACAGGCCCTCTCCGAAACTCGTTCTCAGGGTCGGCCAAATTTCCAAAAAAAAAAAAAAATTATTTTTTCTTATGAAAAAATAGAGTTTTTTTTTCTAAACATTATAGGATAAACAAAAAAAATTTACCATCAATACTTACGGAGATATGGATGCATGAAGTTTGCAGAAAATGAGCCGCGTATGGCAACAGCGGCGACTGCCGCTCACCCGGTAAACTTTAGTTTATCTTGTATTTGAAGGTTTGTTGTTTTTTTTCACTATTTTATTTTTTCACATAACTTATGTGGCCTATGAGACCAAAGTAAGGTGCAATGTACATATATACACTCGTTGTATACAACACAATAAGCACACAAACATAATTATCAATATATTGTTTACAAAACTTGTTTACAAAAACAAACAATACAAAACATTGTTTATTATTATTGTTCTATAATATATATACCAATATACAGTCACTGAACATATTCCTATTAGTTCTGCAGCTTGTGGAACTCTGAAACATGGTGTCATACACAATGGTGTTTTATCTTTCTCCCTCATTCTATCTCTTTCAATCTGTCTCTCTCTTTCTGTCTGTCTATCTCTGTCTCACAGGTACACATAAATACAAGTATACATAGTATAAATTACCTAGGATAACCCAAGAAATCTAGACAAAGTGCTATACTCTGCTTGAAGATGTGAGTAAAAGTGATGACGCAGTCTTGTGGCTCTCTGAGACAGAGAGCTAGACGGATAGACAGATAGACAGGGAGCTTGACAGACAGACAAATAGACAGACAGAAATGTTAGTGTACCAGTACCAGTGTACTAGTGTTCCACCCTCCTCCTCCTCTTCTTCCTCTTCCTCCTCTTCCCCCTACTCTTCCTCCTCTTCCCCCTACTCTTCCTCATACTCTTCCTCTTCCTCCTACTCTTCCTCTTCCTCCTCCTCCTCTCTCCTCCATCCTCTTCTCCTCTTCCTCCTACTCTTCCTCCTCCTCCTCCTCTTCTTCCTCTTCCTCCTCTTCCCCCTAATCTTCCTCCTACTATTCCTCTTATTCCTCTTCCTCCTACTCTTCCTCTTCCTCCTCCTCCTCCTCTTCTTCCTCTTCCCCCTACTCTTCCTCCTTCTCCTTCTCCTCCTCCTCCATAGTGTAAATTACCAGGAGTCGGCAGCTGTCAAAATGACATATTGTCTCATTACTCAATCCCCCTCCCACCTGTCAAAACAATGGGGTCGGATGCTGCTTCCCTTCCTCCATTCTATCTAATTATCTTTCTCCCTCATTCTATCTGTCTTTTTATCTCTGTCTCACAGGTACACATAAATACAAGTATACATAGTATAAATTACCTAGGATAACCCAAGAAACCCAGACCAAAGTGCTATACTCTGCTGAAGATGTGAGTAAAAGTGATGACGCAGTCTTGTGGCTCTCTGAGACAGAGAGCTAGACAGATAGACAGGAAGCTTGACAGACAGGCAAATAGACAGACAGAAATGTTAGTATACCAGCAAAAACAAAGGGAGGGCGATGTTTTATCTCATCTTTTGGCATCAGCTCTACCCTCATTTACCCTCATCAAACGTCAGCACTTATCAGATGTTATCTCCCTTATCTTGTTACTGTCATGGGTGAACATTATTATTACATATTTATATTATACCTATTAATTATTATTATGTATTATTATTATGTAATTATTATTATTATGTATTATTATTATTATGTAATTATTGTTATCATTACGTAATCTTCTTCTTCCTCCTCCTCCTCTTCTTCCTCCTCCTCCTCCTCCTCTCCTCCTCCTCCTCTTCTTCCTCCTCCTCCTCCTCCTCCTCTTCTTCCTCCCCTCCTCCTCTTCTTCTTCCTCCTCCTCATCCTCCTCTCCTCCTCCTCTGCCTCCTCCTCCTCTTGCCTCCTCCTGCTCTTGCCTCCTCCTCCTCTTGCCTCCTCCTCCTCTGCCTCCTCCTCCTCTGCCTCCTCCTCTCCTCTCCATTCTTGGACAAGTTTGAAGAGCTTGTAGTTCATAATCACTATCACTATCATCACCAATGCTCACATCTGAGTCTGGGATTTTGGAAAATAGGAGTTTTCCTCTTTGATTTTGGTTACAACTGAACGTGAACAAGATGGCCCAGCACCAGAGGTGAAAGGCTGTGGGTTGTCTGGGTTTTCCTCACTATTACCCATATTATGGTCATTAGTTTCGGTCAAAACCTCACCAGAACCTTGAAACTCATCTTCACTGTCACTTCCATCTGTATTAGAACTCTCACTGGGGAACAAAAGTGTCCCAATTCGCTGAGGAGTGAGGAACTTCTTACCACAGGGCACGGTGGAAATTGTGTACTATGATGGCATTCCCACAATACACCACTGGGTCCCAGATTTTTTTCCTACTGCGCACACCCACCACACAGACCCATTCTCTCACATCTAGGCTTATCAGCCTTTTCCTGTGAGATTTGAGGCCGCTAGAATTTATGCGTACTAGTACGTCAAAAACCCCTACGCGTAAGACGTACTAGTACGACCAAAACCCTCAAAGGGTTAAACAACCATGGTGACATTACACATCCCTGTCTAAAACCCACCTTTACTGGGAAGTAGTCTCCCTCTCTTCTACACACACACTAACCTGAGCCTCACTATCCTCATAAAAACTCTTTACAGCATTTAGTAACTTACCACCTATTCCATATACTTGCAACATCTGCCACATTGCTCCCCTATCCACTCTGTTATATGCATTTTCTAAGCCCATAAATGCAATGAAAACTTCCCTACCATTCTCTAAATACTGTTCACGTATATGCTGCAATGTAAACTCTTGATCTACACATCCCTACCCACTCTAAAACCTCCTTGCTCATCTGCAATCCTACATTCTGTCGTGCCTCTAATTCTTTTAATAATAACCCTACCATACACTTTTCCTGGTATACTCAGTAAACTTATTCCTCTATAATTTTTACAATCTCTTTTGTCCCCTTTCCCTTTATAAAAGGAATTATACATGCTCTCTGCCATACATACATACCAACCACTCCAACACTATATCCCCCCTGCTTTTAACATTTCTGTCATGATCCCGTCAGTTCCAGCTGCTTTACCCCCTTTCATTCTATGTAATGCCTCGCACACCTCCCCCACACTCACATCCTGCTCTTCTTCAGTCCTAAAAGATGGTATACCTCTCTGGCCAGTGCATGCAATTACCGCCTCCCTTTCTTCATTGACATTTAAAAGTTCCTCAAAATATTCCCGATATCTACCCAATACCTCCATCTCCCCATCTACTAACTACCCTACTCTGTTTTTAACTGAGAAATCCATTCGTTTCCTAGGCTTTCTTAACTTGTTTATCTTGCTCCAATTTTTTTTCTTATTTTCATCAAAATTTCTTGACAGTGCCTCTCCCACTCTATCATCTGCTCTCCTTTTACACTCTCTCACCATTCTCTTCACCTTTCTTTTACTCTCCATATACTCTGCTCTTTTTATAACACTTCTGCTTTGTAAAAACCCCTCATAAGCTTCCCTTTTCTCTTTTATCACACACTTTACTTCATCATTCCACCAATCACTCCTCTTTCCTCCTGCACCCACCCTCTGATAGCCACAAGCTTTTGCCCCACATTCTAATACTGCATTTTTAAAACTATTCCAACCCTCTTCAACCCCCCCGATACTCATACTTGCACTAGCCCACCTTTCTTCCAATAGTTGCTTATATCTCACCCGAACTTCTTCCTCCCTTAGTTTAAACACTTTCACCTCTCTCTTGTTGCCATTTTGTGGTTAAATATCCTCTTTTAATCATTTTAATCATGAAATATGTCTTGTCCACTAAGTTCATGTTTGTCCAGTTACATACAAGCATATGTACATACATACTGTATTTTCATAAATACAAAATATTACAGAAGACAATGATGGGAAGGCCTGATGGCCTCAGCCCGTTGTTGTACATAAAATGTTTTGCCGTGGAACGCACAGGGACTACAGCAGACCCTGATCATGGCCACAGAACACCTGTTTAGGTCAACATCTCCTTCGAGATCCTCAGATAGGTCATCTAAATAATTTCCATAATTTTAGGTTCTCGGTACTTGCACAAAGTTGGCCAGAAGGCTGCTCATGGCTATGGGACCATTAGTGCAGTCTTCAGTGACAGCAGTTTTTATGCTAACTCTCAGGTGAGATTGTGTGATTTTCTCATGTTGTATTTGCTTTAGCAGTGTCCATGTATTTATTGTTTTCTTAAGACACTGGATTGTATTTTATACACCTCTAAACCTGTGTGAGTTATTCAACACAAAAAATGGTGGAGGCTTCATCCACCATTGTCAAACTGTGGTCTAGGATCTGACCAGTCATATTTATACTCATGTTTGAGCCCTGAAAATGTAATTTGAGTTTTTAATGTCAGGAATATCACTGACTTAGTTTTTCTGCTGAATATAGCACAGCATTGTACAGTGCTCATCATTAACCCTTTCAGTGTTGCAATGCCTGCTTGCAGACTTGCTCTCAGGGTTGAAGAATTTAAAAAAAAAAATATTTTATGAAATGATAGAAAATCTTTTTCCAAAGGTAATGAAATCAAAAGTACAAAATTTGATGAAAAACTTACGGAATTATGCTCTCTCAAAGTTAGCGGTCTCGGCAATATTTATGCATCGGTGATTTCGCCCACTCTGAGCGCTATTTTGGGCCAGTTCCATTGTTCCAGTCATCCAAACTCATAGCTATTTTGCTAATACAGTGGACCCCCGGTTAACGATTTTAATCCGTGCAAGAGGGATAATTGTTATGCGAAATAATCGTTATGCGAATGAATTTTCCCCATAAGAAATAATGGAAATAAAATTAATCCGTGCAAGACGCCCAAAAGTATGAAAAAAAATTTTTTTTACCACATGAAATGTTAATTTTAATACACACAAACTGAAAAAGGCATGCACAATTACATGACACTTACTTTTATTGAAGATCTGGTGATGATTGATGGGATGGGAGGAGGGGAGAGCATTATCTTCTACTGTTTAGAAGGGGAATCCCCTTCCATTACGACTTGAGGTAGCAAGTCCTTTTCCGGGGTTACTTCCCTTCTTCTTTTAATGCCACTAGGACCAGCTTGAGAGTCACTGGACCTCTGTCGCACAACAAATCTGTCCATAGAGCTCTGTACCCTCCCGTTCCTTTACGATTTGTCTAAAATGGGCCACAACATTGTCATTGAAATAGTCACCAGCACGGCTTGCAACAGCTGTGTCAGGGTGATTTCATCTATAAAAGGTTTGCAGTTCAACCCACTGTGCACACATTTCCTTAATCTTTGAAGTAGGCACAATGGATTCCACAACTGGCATAGGCTTCTCAGGTTAGCCCCAAACCCTTCAAAATCTTTCTTAATTTCCATACTAATTCTCACCCTTTTTACCACAGGGTTGGCACTAGAAGCTTTCTTGGGGCCCATGGTCACTTATTTTCCAGAAACAGCACCGAAAACACTGTAATAATACGAAATATTCCGAGTGTATGCTTGGATGTTACCGCGGAGGCTGGCTGGTAAACAATGGGACGGGCGGCACATGTGAGGGCACATTGGACGCGTCTCGGACGAAAATCGGTGAGCGGGTTTTTAATCGGTATGCGCGGCAAAAATTTTGCGATAAAAGTAAGCGGTATGCGGAAAAATCGCTATGTGATGCCATTGTTATGCGGGGGTCCACTGTACTCCATTTATTCTATCAATTGATTACAAGAAATTGGTAATTTGGCCAATTTCACACAAAATTCAAGAATGACCAATTTCAAAATAGGGTCCAGAATAAACAAAGCAGACATTCCTGGCACTAAAATAACATTTTTTTCTGTTCATTAGTTATGTCTTCAGGCCTCTCTTATATTATGCTTGCTTTCCATTTTGAATTTTTAATAACACAAAAATTAGAAGATTTACTGTTATGCAGACTACTGCATTATTGTAATTATTGTATAAATAATATCAGCACACTTGTGAACAAATATTAGACCCACAGTGACGTGATTTGTTTACTCTCGAACATCAGCAAAAACCGAACATTTCCGTTAATTTGAGCTCAATTTCAAGCTACTTTCAGTCCCGAAAACCAATCAGAATCACCTCTATTTCTGTAGCATATCTTCCAATCTATCAAATGAAACCAAGAAAACAAGAATACAGCCATAAAAAACATACAAAAGTACACCACAAAATCGCTGTTTACAACCAAAAACATGGTCGCAGCTTTTTTTTCTCATGCACTGTGTGCTGCAGGATTTTTTTATATGGAGCACACTTACCACATAGACCCTTCTTTCTTCTTTCAATGCACCAGCTGTATCCCACCCAAGCAGGATGGCCCAGAGAGAAAAACAAAAGTCTCTCTTTTTAACTTTAGTAGCATATACAGGAGAAGGGGTTACTAGCCCATTGCTTCCGGCATGTTAGTCGCCTCTTACAACATGCATGGCTTACAGAGGAAGACTTCTGTTCCACTTTCCCATGGAGATAAAAGGAAATAAACAAGAAGAAGTAGTAAGAAAATAGAAGAAAACCCAGAAGGGTGTGTATATACATATGCTTGTTCATGCATGTGTAGTGTGACCTAAGTGTAAGTAGAAGTAGCAAGTCGTACCTAAAATCTAGCATGTTTCTGAGACAGAAAAAAGACACCAGCAATCCTAACCATCATATAAAACAATTAACAGACTTTCATTTTACACTCACTTGGCAGAACAGTAGTACATGTACCTCCTTGGGTGGTTGCTGTCTACCAGCCTACTACCTTGGTCTGCATAGACCCATTCTCTCATATTTAAGCACAAATTTACTGCTCACAGTCTATCTGAGTGAGTTGAGCTCATGACATCATATTACAGGACCGACACTGGCTTCAAAGCTGTGATATGACGGGACCGATACTGAAAGGGTTAAGTACACCGGCTGCCCCCCTACCCATCTCAAATTGATCACAAACTTTAGAAAAAATAAATATTGTAGTGTATTTCTCAAAGATTTAATATTTTGTAGGTCATCCCTCATGCGTTAGGACATCTTCAGTTATCTAAGAAGTAATTTACAAAAATTTTTGAGGGTTTCTTGTGGTACATTTTCCCATGATGTCCTTCCTCTAAATTTCTCTATCACAGCCCAGAGGTTGTCAATGGGGTACAGTTCTGGGGAATTACCTGGCTAGTCATGAGAGGTTATGTCACAGTCATGAACCCATTAAGCAACTGATTTAGCAGTGTTGCAAGAAGCATTGTTTTGCATAAAATTCTTTGCACCACACTGAGTGAAAGATTCTGGGAAATGATCACAGAGAAGTTCTAAATGGTTGTACTGCTTCATGTGTTGGTTGTTGTGCATCACAATCAACTTAACTGGCCTTCTAGTCTTGTATGACAGGCAGATTTGTGTTCATGGTCCCTGTGCACTCTGTGGTTTTGAGCGCCAAGTTTGTTGGACGTTTTTGGCTGATGAATTAATGTGGACCAGAGTAAATTGCTAACACAAAAGATAGTTGCACAGATCATTGTATTATATAAGTCAGGCCATCAATTGAAGGAAATAGTAGAAGCCATTGATGTGTGTGAGTTGGCATGGCATCAGTATTGCTATGATGTGGACATGTCATCAACACTATCTTTGAGGACAGCATTGATGACATGCCCACGCTAAAGCCATGTCCAAGGAAGCCCAAAACTTCTCCACTAACAGTAACTGAAGTAACATACTTGGAATTGCTCTTTTATCAGTTACCTGAATCATTTACTTAGTGTGGTGCAAGGTTTTTAAGCAAGACAGTGCTCCTTGCCACACTGCAAAATCTGTTGTTTAGTGGCTTCATGCCTATGAGGTACCCTTTGGTGACTGGCCAGGAAATTTCCCAGACTTGAACCTCACTGAGAGCCTCTAGGCTCTGATAGAGATCTACAGAGGAAGGATATCAGCCCACTCCCACAGCTGTAGCATGTCATCCATGAGTCGTGGGTAAATTTACCCCATGGAACCGTGAAGAATGTATGTTAATTACTTAGTAAATGGTTGAAACATGTCCTAAGGTGTGTGGGAAAACCTGTTTTCAGGTCATTGTTTTAGAGGGAGATTGACATACTTTAACGAGTACAGCATAATGTAAACTTGTATATATAGATTTCTTCTTCTTTCAACAAACCGGCTGTATCCCACTGAGAATCTATGGGTTTATAGTTATGATTACCTCTGGTTTTTTAAAGGTTTTGTCTCAGTTGCAACTTTTCATAAACTCTTAGTCTCGACTCTAAAATGGCAGGACGCTTCAACATTTTATCTGGTATCTTTAATTGTTTGATTTTTCCTTGATAATGTTCCATTATTTCTTTGTTTTTATGATTTGCAGGCATCTGACAAAATAGAGTATTGCAGCTTCTCCTTGGAAGATAGCAGTGCTTGGAAGATGATGTCTCCGAGTGCTTTATCAAGCATGATAGTAAAGTCTCCTTGCTTGGTACCACTAACACCAGCTTCTAGTGAGGAAAACAAAAGGAGTTCTGACATGGAGGTGCAGCTAAGAGTATATATAATTGAACACAGAAGTGTAAGTAACTCTTGTCTTTATAGTGCTGTATATACTTGCAGATACACTGTATACAATATAACTGAAAATTTTGAAATAGCTTGGCTGTGTTCGTAATCATTTAAATTTGTTTATTATAACAACAGTTTTGTTTCCTTCAAATGGATCCTACTACAGGTTCATGTGTTACAGTAATGATGTTGACTCTTGTAGAATTATTCACCGTGATTTAGCCATGTTTAAGGGATTGGGGCAGTCATTCTGGAGCGAGTATTTTTAAATATTGTTCTTATCAAAGGCCTTGCTAATCAAACAACTAAAATTTTGGAAAATTTGCCTAAAAGAATTCAAATGTGCATCATGTTTGTCCTTTAATTTTTTTTTTTTTTAACACACCAACCATATCCCACTTAGGTAGGGTAACCTAAAAAGAAAAACAAAAGTTTTCCTCTTTAAATTTAGTAATTTATACAAGAGAAGGGGTTACTAGCGCCTTGCTCCTGGCATTTTATTCCTCTCTTATGACACACATGGCTTACAGAGGAAGAATTCTCTTCCACTTTCCCATGGAGATAAGAGGAAATAAAGAAAAACAAGAACTATTAAGAAAATAGAAAAATCCAGGTGTGTGTGTGTGTGTTTTTTTGTTTGTTTGTGTGTTTTTTTCTTTCTTTCAACAAATTAGTCGTGTCCCACCGAGACAGGGTGGTCCAAAAAGAAAAACGAAAGTCTCTCTTTTAAACTTTAGTAATGTAAACAGGAGAAGGGGTTACTAGTACCTCACTCCTGTCATTTTAGTTGACTCTTATGACACGCATGGCTTACGGAGGAAGAATTCTGTTCCACTTCCCCGTGGAGATAAGAGGAAATAAACAAGAGCAAGAACTAGTAAGAAAGTAGAAGAAAACCCAGAGGGGTATGTGTATATATGCTTATACATCCAAATGTAGTGTGACCTAAGTGTAAGTAGAAGTAGCAAGACGTACCTGAAATCTTGCATGTTTATGAAACAGAAAAATGGCACCAGCAATCCTACCATCATGTAAAACAATTACAGGCTTCTGTTTTACACTCACTTGGCAGGATGGAAGTACCTCCTGGGAGGTTACTGTCTACCAACCTATTCTTCTTCTTTCAACACACCGACCGTATCCCACCGAGGCGGGGTGGCCCAAAAGGAAAAATGAAAGTTTCTCCTTTTACATTTAGTAATATATACAGGAGAAGAGGTTACCAGCCCCTTGCTCCCGGCATTTTAGTCGCCTCTTACAACACGCATGGCTTACGGAGGAAGAATTTTGTTCCACTTCCCCACGGAGTTAAGAGGAAATAAACAAGAACAAGAACTAGAAAGAAAATAGAAGAAAACCCAGAGGGGTGTGTATATATATGTTTGTACATGTATGTGTAGTGTGACCTAAGTGTAAGTAGAAGTAGCAAGTCGTACCTGAAATCTTGCATGTGTATGAGACAGAATAAAAAGACACCAGCAATCCCACCATCATGTAAAACAACTACAGGCTTCCGTTCTACACTCACTTGGCAGGACGGTAGTACCTTCCTGGGCGGTTGCTGTCTACCAACCTATTAACTAGGTTTAAATAGTTTTATAGATTGCAGCCACTAAGATTTGTACACAACATTATTTCACACAGCCCAGTGGTTTTTGGTGGGATACAGGTCTCGAGAATTTCCTGGCTGGTCATCGAAGGTTATTTCACAGTCACAGAACTATTGAAAAACTGATTTAGCAGTGTTGCAAGAAGCATTGTCTTGCATAAAAATCTTTGAACCACACTGAGTGAAAGATTCTGGTAAATGATCACAGAGCAGTTCTAGGTAGTTGTATGCTTCAAATATTGGTGTTGGGCATCATGATCAAGTCATCAACACTTTTAGCACCAAAACAAGCCAAAACCATCAGAGATTCAGGGAGTTTTGTGGTACCACAGGTGTAATGTGAATTCAAAAGGGTCACTACTTGGGCATCTAAATGTTCCTTCCATGGTTACAGGTCACTGTGAAAGCCACTTTATCACTAAAGAACCTCACTCCACTTTTTCTGGTCCATGTTTGGTATTTCTTTGCAAACACAACTCTTCGAATTCTCTTCACATGGCTCAAAATTGTTATCTGGACAGGTTGATGACTGCCGTTGCCAAGTTTCTTTACACGCCTATTAACAGTTCTAATAGACATAAGAAGCAGTTCATGACTCTTTTTCTTTAATCTCTCATGTAGTCACTCTTGGTCTGGTCTTAAGCTGTCTCTTTATTACAGTTAATGTGCATGCAAAAAATGTCTGCAGAGGCTTAGGTTAGCAAGGTTGAGGCACACTGTGTACCTGTTGCCAGCTGGCCTCTTCTACCAAGTTGTCACAAGTGATGTTGCATCACCATCCAATTTCACAACTCATGATTCACATTATTACTTCGTGAACTACATCTCCCCCTTCACTGGGAAGGATCTCAAGGCCTACAAAAATCTTTATAAATACCAGTCAAACCAGGAAAAAACTTTTTTCCATTGATACGAACACTGACTTTTTGATCCCAGCCAAGAAGTGTTGTGCCATCCCACTGCCAGTTGACAGTGATACAGTGGAACCCCGAGTTTCAGCCATAATTCGTTCCAGAAGGCTGTTTGAGTGCTATTACCTAACGAATTTGTTCCCATAAGGAATAATGTAAATTAAATTAGTCCGTTGCAGACCCCCAAAAATACACTTACAAAAGCACTTACAATAATACGCTTAAATAATTGTTCGAGTTGGGAGGTGGTCGAAACTCAGGGTACCACTATATATATAAATAAAAGCAAGAACTCCTAATATACCATTGCTTCAAAATAAGTTAAGGAGCTGTACTAAGCTTCAGCAAGTCAGGTGTTAGTCTTGCACTGCTCTTTCTGCTTCAAGAAAGCTAGAGACTGCAACACTATGAGCTATTGCTTTTTTATTTATGGACAGCTTTATACAACCCTCAAAACAAAAATCTCAGTCATCTTGACCTGCTTGCTGAATGCAACAAAGAATTTCCCTAAATCAAGTAAGATCAGAACATGATAAAAATTGCTATTATTGTTGCTGGCATTATATTATTTTTAAATTATGCTTATCAAGAATTAGATGAGGAGATGGAGGTACTGGGAAGATGGAGAGAATATTTTGAAGAACTCTTAAATGTTGATGAAGAGAGAAGCAGTAATTTCATTCATTGGCCAGGGAGGTATAAAATCTTTTAGGAGTAAGGAAGGACCAGATGTGAGTGTGGATGACGTGTATGAGGCAGTGGGTGAACTGAAAGGGGGTAAAGCAGCTGGGATTGATGGGAATCAAGGCAGAAATCTTAAAAGCAGGTAGGGATATAGTTCTGGGGTGGTTGGTGTTTTTATTCAATAAATATATGAAAGAGGGGAAGGTACCTTGAGATTGTTGGAGAGCATGGATAATTTTCCCTTCTATAAAGAAAAAGGGGACAAAAGAGAATGTAAGAATTCTTGGGGAATAAGCCTGTTGAGTATACTAGGTAAAATGAGTGGTAGAGTTACATTGCAAGAATTAATTAAGAGTAAGACAGAGAGCAGGAGTACAGATGAACAGGGAAGCTTTAGGAAGGGTAGGGGATCTGTAGACCAAGTGTTTACATTAAAGCATATAAGTGAAAAGTATTTAGATAAGGGTAAGGAAGTTTTTGTTGCACTTATGGATTTAGGAAAGGCATATGATAGGAAGGATAGGGGAGCAATATGGCAGATGTTGCAAGTATATAGAGTAGTTGGTAGATTACTTAAAGCAGTTAAGAGTTTTTACGAGGCTTGTGAGGTTCAGGTTAGGGTAGGTATGAGAAGAGACTATTTTCCAGTAAAAGTAGGCCTTAGACAGGGATGTGATGTCACCATGATTGTTTAACATTTATAGAGTTGGTTGTAAAAGAAGTGAATGCTTGGGTGTTGGGAAGAAATGTGGGATTGAAATATAAAGAATCTAATACAGTGGCTTTTTTGCCACAGACATGCTGCTTTTGGGAGATACCAAAGAGAAGTTGCAAAGGTTAGTGGATGAATTTGGGAGGATATATGAAAGAAGGAAATTAATAGTGAAAATATGAAAGAGCAAGGTGATGATGGGTAACAAAAAATTTAGGTAATGAAAGATTGGATATCAGATTGGAGGAAGGGAGTATGGAGTAAGTGAAGGTGTTCAGATATTTGGGAGTAGACTTGTCAGTGGATGGGTCTATGTAAGGTAAAGTGAACCATTGAATTGAGAAGGGGAGAAAAAAGGTGAGTGGTGCACTGAGGAGTCTGTGGAGACAAAAATGTTATCTGTAGAAGCAAACAGGGAAATGTATGAGAGTACATATAGTGGGTTGTTAATATTGCACCGAGGAGGAGGTTGGAGGCAGTGGAGATGCCACGTCTGATAAGATAAGATAAGATAAGATTTCGTTCGGATTTTTAACCCCGGAGGGTTAGCCACCCAGGATAACCCAAGAAAGTCAGTGCGTCCTCGAGGACTGTCTAACTTATTTCCATTGGGGTCCTTAATCTTGTCCCCCAGGATGCGACCCACACCAGTCGACTAACACCCAGGTACCTATTTGCTGCTAGGTGAACAGGACAATAGGTGTAAGGAAACGTGTCGGAATTTCCACCCGCCGGGAATCGAACCCGGGCCCTCCGTGTGTGAAGCGGGAGTTTTAGCCACCAGACCACCGGGCCAGGGTAGTGTATGGTGTGAATTTTATGCAGAGCATTCGCAGTTTGAAGATTATAAGAAGGTGCAGTTTTACTAAACATAAGAACATAAGAAAAAAGGAACACTGCAACAGGCCTACTGGCTTATGCGAGGCAGCTCCTGTTCTCCCACCGGCTTAAGCCAATGCCTTGCCCTAGTGAGGTCAGACACTTCAGTTAAGGGAGGAGCAGTGCATCCGACCTAGTAGCACAAGCTAGTCAGGTCCAACTCGCACCCACCCACACCCACTCATGTATTTATCCAACCTATTTTTAAAACTGCACAACGTCTTAGTGTCTATGACGGTACTTGTGGGAGTGTGTTCCACTCATCCACAACTTTATTACCAAACCAGTGCTTTCCTATATCCTTCATGAATCAGAATTTTTCCAATTTAAAGCCATTGCTCAAGCCCCTGCCACTTATAATCTCCTTAACATACTCCCTCTAGCCCTTCCTAGGATGACCCTTACCCCTCCTTCCTTCCACCCCAGGTTGATTAACCCTCTTAGTCATCCTATTCTTCTCCATCTTTCCTAATTGCCCAAGCCATACTGAGATGCAGCTTTGTTTTGTTTTGCATTGTGAGTATGCATGACTCACCACCACCACTGACTTGAGCTCCAACTTTGTTTTTTCTCAGGACACTGGCTTGAGCTCCAACTTTGATGATCATCTGAGCTACATACTGACTCCTGCATTATGGTCCTATGAGAGAAGAGCTGTCGATGGTGACGGTGGCACTGAAGGTCGAGGAACAGAACTCTTCTCAGCTGCTCTTATGCATACTGTGCCTGAGGGACATACTTTTAAGGCATTTCCCTTCCACTTTGTACATTGTTCTCCACGTCGTGCCTTCACTACAATATTAAAGTAAGAATGCTCTGCAGAAGCGTGTTTATGTATATAACTTTTGCTTCATTTATTTAACTTTTTTGTATAGCTATTGTTTTTTCTCACTGCCTATGTCATTTTGTCTTTTACTCTTCTTACTTTATTTCAAGTTTTTTATTATTATTATCACACTGGCCGATTCCCACCAAGGCAGGGTGGCCCGAAAAAGAAAAACTTTCACCATCATTCACTCCATCACTGTCTTGCCAGAAGGGTGCTTTACACTACAGTTTTTAAACTGCAACATTAACACCCCTCCTTCAGAGTGCAGGCACTGTACTTCCCATCTCCAGGACTCAAGTCCGGCCTGCCGGTTTCCCTGAACCCCTTCATAAATGTTACTTTGCTCACACTCCAACAGCACGTCAAGTATTAAAAACCATTTGTCTCCATTCACTCCTATCAAACACGCTCACGCATGCCTGCTGGAAGTCCAAGCCCCTCGCACACAAAACCTCCTTTACCCTCTCCCTCCAACCTTTCCTAGGCCGACCCCTACCCCGCCTTCCTTCCACTACAGACTGATACACTTTTGAAGTCACTCTGTTTCGCTCCATTCTCTCTACATGTCCGAACCACCTTAACAACCCTTCCTCAGCCCTCTGGACAACAGTTTTGGTAATCCCACACCTCCTCCTAACTTCCAAACTACGAATTCTCTGCATTATATTCACACCACACATTGCCCTCAGACATGACATCTCCACTGCCTCCAGCCTTCTCCTCGCTGCAACATTCATCACCCATGCTTCACACCCATATAAGAGCGTTGGTAAAACTGTACTCTCATACATTCCCCTCTTTGCCTCCAAGGACAAAGTTCTTTGTCTCCACAGACTCCTAAGTGCACCACTCACCCTTTTCCCCTCATCAATTCTATGATTCACCTCATCTTTCATAGACCCATCCGCTGACACGTCCACTCCCAAATATCTGAACACATTCACCTCCTCCATACTCTCTCCCTCCAGTCTGATATCCAATCTTTTATCACCTAATGTTTTTGTTATCCTCATAACCTTACTCTTTCCTGTATTCAGTTTTAATTTTCTTCTTTTGCACACCCTACCAAATTTCAAGTTATTGGATGGATTATCAGTGAGTTATATACATAACATACATATTAAGTTACACAGTTAAAAAATGGTGCCATGGAATTTTTTCAGACATTAATATATCTAATAATTTGATCATCATCCCTTTTCATTGTATTGCTTTAGTTTATACTATACCTGTAGACCCTTTTAGAGTTCCTTGACCTACCTCATCTTTTCATTGTATTGCTTTAGTTTATACTATACCTGTAGACCCTTTTAGAGTTCCTTGACCTACCTCGTCTTTTCATTGTATTGCTTTAGTTTATACTATACCTGTAGACCCTTTAGAGTTCCTTGACCTACCTCGTCTTTTCATTGTATTGCTTTAGTTTATGCTATACCTGCAGATTCTTTATAGAGTTCCTTAACCTACCTCATTTTTTTTATTCTTCTTTTATCATGCTTCCTTTCACTTTGGGAAGTCCCTGTTGTCGAGTCTGCTCTTCATGCTTCTGTCGAGTCTGCTCTTCATGCTTCTGTCGAGTCTGCTCTTCATGCTTCTGTCGAGTCTGCTCTTCATGCTTCTGTCGAGTCTGCTCTTCATGCTTCTGTCGAGTCTGCTCTTCATGCTTCTGTTGAGTCTGCTCTTCATGCTTCTTTCGAGTCTGCTCTTCATGCTTCTGATACTTCTGTTGTATCCACTAATGGTTTCAAATCCTCTTAGAGTGTTATTCAGTGTTTTCACTAATAATGTGGTTTAAGGGTGGCTGTGACAGTCACCTTGAATTTTCACAGTAGTTATGTATACTTTTTACCACCATCATCCTTATTGCTATGGTGTGAGATGCAACTAATGTGACATTTTATTGTGGCCACAATAAAAATGTCATTAGTTGCATCTGTGTTTATGTACCTAATATTTCATTGGTAATTCTACCATTATTACTGAGGGTCATTGTGTTGCAGATAATTCAGACTTTTGATTTCTTTGTCTTTACATTCAGTACTAGGCTGTGTCATATAATCATCAGAGATGGATGGACATGTTTTCTGGGTTCTTACCATTTTAGTATTCAGGGCAATGAATTTGTGAGTTCTTCCACACATTCGACACTTCCAAACCTTTTAATCTTCTGCAGCCTATTGCTATGTTTTGGCTATTATTAGGTATTAACTTTACCATTGTGAGATAACTCAGCTTTGATGGTGTAAGTTTAGTAACTGATAAACTGTTTTTAATCAAACTGCAATAAGAACTCTGGCCATCCTTCCCTTATTGCTGTCAGTTACAGGTACACATTCCTTTATCTGAAATCCTCGGGGACAGTAGTGTTTCGAATTTCAGAATGAACATAAGAACATAAGAATGGAGGAACACTGCAGAAGGCCTACTGGCCCATACAAAACGACCTCTACCCAAAGCTACCCAAGAATTATCTCCCATACCCAATGACACTAATCAAACCCAGCCCCTCTCACTCGTATATTTGTCCAATCTCTTCTTAAAGCTACCCAAGGTCCTAGCCTCTATCACCCCACTGGGAAGATTGTCCCACGCATCCACAACTCTGTTAGAAAACCAGTACTTACCTATGTCCTTTCTAAATCTAAATTTATCCAACTTAAATCCATTATTTCTGATTCTTACCTGGTTCAACACCCTCAATACCTTATTAATATCTCCTTTGTTTATGCCCGTCATCCACTTATACACCTCAATGATATCTCCTCTCATTCTACATCTCTCCAGAGAGTGAAGATTTAAGGCTTTAAGTCTATCTTCATATGGGAGATTCCTTACACAGTAAATCATTTTAGTCATTCTTCTCTGTATGTTCTCCAATGAGTCTATATTCATCCTGTAGTAAGGAGACCAAAACTGAGCAGCATAATCTAAATGAGGCCTCACCAGTGATGTATAGAGCTGTAAAATAACTTTTGGGCTTCTGTTACTTATACTTCTTGAGATAAATCCAAGTAATCTGTTTGCCTTGTTGTGCACACTTAGGCACTGCTGCCTTGGCTTTAGGTTTTTGCTTACCATGACTCCCAAGTCCTTTTCCCACTCTGTATGATGAAGCTCTACTTCACCTAGTTTATAGCTTCGAGGGTTATTTTCATTACCAAGGACCAGTACCTTACACTTATCCACATTGAACTTCATCTGCCATTTTTCAGACCAAGACATTAATTTGTCTAAATCCTCCTGCAGTTCATTGCTATCCTCCTCAGAATGAATCATACGGCCTATCTTCGTATCATCAGCAAACTTGCTCATGTCACTCGTAATCCTTTCATCAAGGTCATTAATGTAAATTATAAACAAGAGAGGGCCTAAAACTGATCCTTGTGGAACGCCACTAGTAACTAAGCCCCATTGAAGGTGGGGTTTAGAGCAGCACGCCATAATCAGACATTAACACTGCAGCAAAAACGTATGAATGCTCACACTAAGTGGGATAAATAAAGACTACACATACTACTACAGTTTATTTATAGAGTAATATAGTGATAAATGAAATAGTGGGATGATTATAGACCAAGAACGTGATTCTCAAGCAATGAATCAGCACTATGACAGATGACATTTTTAAAGACTTAATTGATCACACATTTTCACTATATTGTCTATGGGGACTTTTTCACCTGTGTTCACAATGTGATCATCATCATTACTATTCTCATGCTTATTTGTATTTAACATCATTTCTTTAAATCATAAACAGTGGTAGTTCCAACACCATATTCTTCAGTAAGACGCCACTCTGACACACCATGATCAAGCTTCTGCAGTAACTCTACTTTCTGCGTTATTGATAACGTCGGATGCTTCCTTTTATTTTTCACACTGTTACCCATAGGGGTATCTGCAGCTCTTTTTGATATTTTCAGAGTGAAGTTAAACAGTCACAAAATAAAAAGCAAAAACAAAATACGTCAGCAAACAGCAGATGCACGTGTGAACACTACAAGCGCTGAGACACAACTGACTCCTGCCACTCTGGCTGTCAGTGACTAACACTCCACACTCCACGAAAAAACTTCAGTTTTCAAAGCTTTTTGAATTTCAGAATTTCGGATAAAGGAATGTGGACCTGTATAGGAAACAGCACTTTGGTCATTATGTATTGGTCAACTTTTGAAGTAGTACCCAGCACCACACTGCAAGAATTGTCTGGTCATACAGAAAGTCCAGTGTCTTTTAATAAATTATTACAATCATCAAAGAGAATTCTGATTTCTTTTTCCCCTTTCTCCTTCATCATCTTGGTACTCAGTCTGCTCTCCTCTGAAAGTCATACCCTCAGTGCAGTTTCTTACCATCACTTTTTTAACAAATTAATTTACTACATTGACCTCTTCTTGCTTTTGTGTTCACTATTAACACTTGGGTTACTCTTCCTCAAACTTTGTCTACCCCTTTGCTTTATAACATTGAATGACTCTCATGGGTGTAATTCTGTGATTTTAATAAATATCCAGATTCTTACAGAATTTTACACGTCATTCTCCTGCAAACTGCTTTCTCCGTGCTGATATTTTCTGTCCATTGGTACGTATATCTTTGATATATTCTTGATGGGTTTCAAGAGTTTTCCTGCTCGTTCAGCCTGGCCTTGGGCCAGGCTTGGTTGTTATAGCTACTTATATTCGTCTCATTTAATTTTATTTAAGTTCCCTCAGCCATTCTATCTATCCTCCTGTATAGATGTATGTTGGGGTCATACTGCTTTAGGAGTGGGGATTGGTTGGTGTATATGTAGACAGAAATGGAAATTGGTGTTGGGGTGGTAGTAGGTCATGCTAGTTAGGTTTAAGGTCTATCAAGTATCAACTACACGAGAGTAGGGGCAGTTAGAGGCAGGTAATGTAAGTAGGACAAATGGTCCAAGTGTGAGGAAAGGTGGTGTTAAGTGGGCTGGTATTGTATGTTAGAGAAACTAAGGCAATTATTCTGGAACAAAATCTTTTAAAGCTCCTATAGCTACTGAACTTTCCCTGCTATACCTGAAGTTTCCCTGTTATCCTTTTTATGGAATATGATGGAGGAAACATAACTAGCCTTTGTTGCCATGTGTAGCTATCATATAGAATAGGGTAGCAGCACACTGTTGTTGTAACTAATTTAGTATGATTTCAGGCAGCTAAGATCATTCTCTCTAACATTGCTGTCTTGTCTCTCTTTTGCAATATGGTCTGACACATATTTTTATCAATGCGAATGCAAAAATAACTCCAGCAAAAGTGTTTTGGGGAAGCTAGAATATACAGTGGAACCTCTGGTCATGAATGCTTCCAAACACAAACTAATTCGTTCACAACCAAAAAATTCACCAAATTTTTGCATCTGGTCATGAACACACAATCGGGTGCCGAACAAACACAGCCGCGCCAATTTTCACATTCCATGCCATTTTTTTTGCACGTGCCAATTTTCCCTACTTCATGTTGTTTGTGTACACCTAACAAAGACCCTCGCCTTGTAGTTGGTCTCGGTCAAACGTGCGTTCATTTGCTGTGAACTCCTTGTGATGTATTTTGTATTTCTAATTCATTTTGTTTTCTTGGTTGTTTATGGTATGTTTTTTCTCTGTTATTTAAGTTTTTTCTCTATTAAACTGTGCATTATTTTGTATAATTAAGGATTTTTCAAATTTTGATTATTTTTTCTGTGCTTACACCTCTTAAAAAAAAAGTTTGCAGCGAATGATTCTTAGGGGTCTAGAATGGACTCATGCAGTGTTAGTTTTCTCTGTTCAAGGTTTTCTGTGTTATTCAAGGTTTTTACATTTAGTTTACTATTACACTGTGTATTCTTTGGTATAATTAACTATTTTTGTGCTTAAAAACCTTAAAAAACAATATTTCGGGATATTAGCAGTTTGGATCGACATGTTGTGTATCTTTATACGTATATGCTTCTTAACCCTTTGACTGTCGAGATCATATATATACGTCTTACGAGGTACCGTGTTTGAGGTATATATACTCATAAATTCTAGCGGCTTCAAATCAAGCAGGAGAAAGCTGATAGGCCCACATGTGAGAGAATGGGTCTGTGTGGTCAGTGTGCACCATATAAAAAAAATCCTGGAGCATGCAGTGCATAATGAGAAAAAAAAACGACCGTTTTTTTTAATTAAAATGCCGACTTTGTGGTCTATTTTCGTATAGTATTTATGGTTGTATTCTCATTTTCTTGATCTCATTTGATAGAATGGAAAACATATTATAGAAATAGAGGTGATTTTGAGTGATTTTACTATAAAAAGAACCTGGAAATGGAGGTCAAAGTAGGGGAAATGTTTGATTTTTGCCGATGTTCAAAAGTAAACAAATGATGTCATTGTCCAATAAATGTCCAACTAGCCATTCTAATATGCAGACGTGAATGGGTTGATGTTATTTATACAATTATTACAGTATTGCAATAGTCTACATAACAGTAAATCTTCTATTTTTTGTTTGAATAAAAATTCAAAATAGAAAGCAAGAGTAATATCAGAGGGGCTTGGAGACGTGACTGATGAACAAAGAAAATGTTATTTTAGAGACAGGAATGTCTGCATTGTTCATTTTGGACCTTATTTTGAAATTGTCATATTTTTTAATTTTTGTGAAATTGGCCAAATTGCAAATTTCTGACCACATTATTGGGTAGTTGAAATCAGTAAATGGGGAGTTTCTTGTACTCAATCGATAGAAAAAATGGAGTTCTAAAGAAATAGCAATGAGTTTGGTCGACTGGAACAACGAAATTAGCCGAAAATAGGGCTCAAAGTGGGCGAAATCGCAGATTTGTAAATATCGCCAAGGTCGCTAACTTCGTGAGAGCGTAATTCCGTCAGTTTTCCATCAAATTTCGTGTTTTTGGTGTCATTACAATCGGGAAAAGATTCTCTACCATTTCATAAGATTTTTTTTTTTTTTTTTTTTTTTTTTTTGCAACACCAGGAGACACCTCAGAATTGGGGATTGTGACAGTCAAGGGGTTAGCTGTTTTGTTTTGAGCACCTCTGCAAAAACAGTGATTATGTGCGAGTGAGGTGAAAGTGTTGAATGATGATGAAAGTACAGTGGCCCCTGGCTTAGGATATTATTTCATTCCAGAAGTATGTTCAGGTGCCATTACTGAACGAATTTGTTACCATAAGGAATATTGTGAATTAGATTAGTCCATTTCAGACCCCCAAACATACACGTACAAATGCACTTACATAAATACGCTTACATAATTGGTTGCATTGGGAGCTGATCGTAAAGTGGGGGTCTACTGTATTTTCTTTTTGGGGATTTTCTTTCTTTTTGGGTCACCCTGCCTCGGTGGGAGACGGCCGACTTGTTAAAAAAAAAAAAAAATTGCATGCAGTTCGTAGGGGTATGGAACAGATTAATCGTATTTACATACAATCCATTGGGGAAATTCGGGCTGGGTCATGACCAAATTGGGTCGTGATCAGAGTTTTGGAATGAATTGTGGTTGTGACCAGAGGTTCCACTGTACTAAACAAATTAATTAATTTTAAAGATAATATTTACAGTCAGTAACTGTTATTCATTTTCTTTGCAGTTCAGGCATTGGTCGGGAAATAGTTGAGTGTCGTGGAGATAAAGTTTCTTTAGCTGTGCGTTGTTTAACTGTTTGTTATCCAGAGCATGTGTATGTGACATGGCTTGTGGTTGCATGTTCCTATAGACCTATAGGATGAAATTATAATTTTTAAAATAAGTTCATGTAAATATTTTTATAAAGTAAATGAAGTACAACCTAAAATATATGATATTAAACTGCATTTTTCAAGGTTATGAATACTAAGATGGTGAGCAAAATGTTACTTATGCATAGTTATTTATTTATGATACAGTAAAAATATTTTAACTGACAAAACTTTCTTATTTATTCCCTTCACATTCTTTTAATGCATGTCAGTAATAAATAAGAGTGAATATGTAAACTGAGATTGAGTAAAATAGTTAAACAATATGATAAACTGCATTATCAATACCAGGCAGTTCAAAAGTGGTAGATGCAGTCTAGTGTGGACAAGTGAAGAGTTCTGATACTTCAGAATGAAAATACTAATCCTCAAACTTATAAACTAGGTGATATAAAGCTTGATTATTCAGAATGTGAAATAAACTTGGGACTCATGGTAAGCCAAATATTAGAACCACAACAACAGTGTCTAAAGATGCACAATAAGTCTAGAAGGCCAAAGGTTATTTTACAGTTCTGATCATTAGTATGGCCTCAGATTATGCAGCTTATTTTTAGTCCCAAAACTACGAAATGGATATAAATGTATCAGAGAACATACAGAGAGGAACAACAAAATTAATCCATGTATAAGGCATCTTTCATGAGGATAGGTTGAGAGCCTTGAACCCACATTCTTAAAAGACATAGAATGAGGGGAGATATCATGGAAATATATAATCAAGATACCCAGCTGTTGCACATGTGATGTTTCCTGCCTGCAACTGACAAAAACTTGTTTGAGGAACAACAGTGGTGAGAGAAGAACAAGTGATATTGTAGTTCTTTCAACAAACTGGCCATATCCCACCAAAGCGGGGTGGCCCAAAAGGAAAAATTAAAGTTTTTCCTTTTAAATTTCGTAAAATATACAGGAGAAGGGGTTACTAGCCCCTTGCTCCCAGCATTTTAGTTGCCTCTTACAACATGCATGGCTTATGGAGGAAGAATTCTGTTCCACTTCCCCATGGAGAGATATTGTAGCTTTTTTTTTTTTTTTTTTTTTTTTTTTAACAAACTGGCCATATCCCACCAAGGCAGGGTGGCCCAAAAAGAAAAACAAAAGTTTCTCTTTTTAAATTTAGTAATTTATCCAGGAGAAGGGGTTACTAGCCCCTTGCTCCTGGCATTTTAGTCGCTTCTTACAACACGCATAAATTACGGAGGAAGAATTCTGTTCCACTTCCCCATGGAGATAAGAAATAAACAAGAACAAGAACTAGTAAGAAAATAGAAGAAAACCCAGAGGGGTGTGTATATATATGCTTGTACATGTATGTGTAGTGTGACCTAAGTGTAAGTAGAAGTAGCAAGACATACCTGATACCTTGCATGTTTATGAGACAGAAAAATGGACACCAGCAATCCTACCATCATGTGAATAAAAGGATCTTTAGAAAACATTGCTATTCTAATTGATCTTTAACACTCAAAGTAACAAAAAGTGTGCTTGCTCTGCAAATGTAAAGTTCCCCTAGCCTTCCATCCAACCAGCTAACCATCCCTAAGCTTTCCAATAAAAAATAAATTGTGGCACCATCCCTGTTCATTTAATAGTGATCTTGTCAGAAGTGTACAGACATAGCAATTCAACAGGCCCCTGAACTGCAATATCACCACCCCTCCCTCTGAGTGCAGTCACTCTACGACAACAGGACTCAAGTCCAATAACCAGTTACCTTTAGTCTCTTCTTAAATGATGAGTACCTAATATAATAGTTATCCATTTGTACTTAACTACCTCTAAGAGGGATGTCTCGATCTTAAAAATAAAAATAATTAACCTTCCCATTCTTGAATCAAACTTGAATACATTCATTCCACTTTAAGGCTTGTCCATGAATATAACAGAAATACTATGACTATATGATAAGGCAGAAGATAAAACTATGTCGCAAGACAATGTGTGATAAGGTGATAGGAAGCCTTATCTTCAAACAGTTTTAGTGACCTGGTAGTGTAGTGGTACGTAAGTCTAGCGTACCAGGTGAGTAGGGACTAGTGGTGACTCCTACATTGGTACCACCTTCCTATACTGGTACCACCTTTCTACATCAGTACCCCCTTCCTATATTGGTACCACTTGCCTCTGAATATTCATCTATACCACCTGCCTCTCAGTGTTCACCAGTACCACCTGACTGATTATTCAGTTCCAACAGCATCTTAACACTCACATGTGCCATCAATCTCCGAATGTTCACCTGTACCACTTGCCTCTAAATGTTCACCTGCTGCTGCAGCAAGTTGAGGAGCACTACCCTGCAGTTGCACAACACATTTCACCAACTATCCTCAGCCAGTACTGAAAAAAATCAACATTTGACTAATTGAAGAGGAGACCCTTCAAAACATTGGCCTATGTCTTGGTTAAAGTGAGTTGAAATCCATGGTTACGTGCATCTTATGATACACTCGGAAAACACTTTTCATTTTATTTAGTTATGTTAACCTTTGATTTGATATTAAACTTTGCGAAGCTCCCAGACATTTATGAGAGAGTGTCATTAGTCTTAGTGTACATAGTTCTATCTGGTCATTTCTATCTGTTATGGCTGTAAAACAGTTCTGGTGTAGTTTATACACCTAATATCTTATCATTTTGTATTTGTTGTTCTTGTGTTTTTTTCTCACTACCGAGTAGTATATTTTTTCCAGTTTTCCTCTCGGTTCTGTTCTCTACCATACACACCTCTGACTGAGGGCTCTTCTGACTCCTGAGCCTAGCAAGAGGCTGGACTTCCATGTTGACTTCCTGTTGTTTTTGCTGCTTGTTGATTAAGTGGTTAATTAATTAGATTTCAGCTTGTCGACTACTCAAGGATCATTTAGGCTGCCTGTATTCTGTTCACCACCAGTCAAGATTGCTTTAATCCCAAAAATATAGATGGAAGTAAACTCTTAGCATATATTCAGTGAAAGCCACTTTTCATGGTGTATGAATCCTGTTGCTGCTAGCAACTAGCAGGCATACTTAGCCATCACCTACCTGGCTGATCAGTGTTCTGTAGCTGTTCCCAATTCTTTTTACTCTTTTCTTTGATGTCCCCACATCTCTGCCTAAACTATGAGCTTTATGTGTTTCACTGCTCTGGTTCTCCTGATGTGTGCACCTATAACCCAGCAAAACTTTTTAACCAAGGCCTTCATCATCTTGTGAGGAGCGAGGAGGCGGTTGGAGGCAGTGGAGATGTCCTGTCTAAGGGCAGTGTGTGGTGTAAATATTATGCAGAAAATTCGGAGTGTGGAAATTAGGAGAAGGTGTGGAGTTAATAAAAGTATTAGTCAGAGGGCTGAAGAGGGGTTGTTGAGGTGGTTTGGTCATTTAGAGAGAATGGATCAAAGTATAATGACATGGAGAGCATTTAAATCTGTAGGGGAAGGACGGTGGGGTAAGGGTCGTCTTCGAAAAGGTCGGAAGGGGTAAGGGAGGTTTTGTGGGCGAGAGGCTTGGACTTCCAGCAGGCATGCATGAGCATGTTTGATAGGAGTGAATGTTGGACGATCTGTTGGACTGTGAGCAGGGTAATATTTAGTGAAGGGATTTAGGGAAACCGGTTATTTTTATATAGCCAGACTTGAGTCCTGGAAATGGGAAGTACAATGGCTGCACTCTAAAGGAAGGGTTCGGGATATTCGCAGTTTGGAGGGATATATTGTGTATCTTTATACGTACAGTATATACTTCTAGACTGTTGTATTCTGGGCACCTCTACAAAAACAGTGATTATCTGTGAGTGAGGTGAAAGAGTTGAATGATGGGGATTTTCTTTCTTTTTTGGGTCACCCTGCCTCGGTGGGAGACTGCCGACTTGTTAAAAAAAAAAAAAAAATTCTATCGAGAAAGTCTCTCTCCCCTGCACAGTCTTCTGTATTCTGGTTTCCTTTTTTTTCTCTCACTTCCTCAATCCCACTTTTATCAAGTATTTCAGCCATCATACTACCTTGTTGCTGGCTCCTAGGAGCAATTGATATTTTGTTTTATCTGTGATTCATTCAAGGTGAAAACCAGGTCCACTGGCATTTTTTTTTTTTTAACTGACATGCTGGATCATTGTTATCCTTTGCCAACTTCATTGGGCTTGCTCACCACATTTCTAAACCCCCGTGTAGATTACCACTCTCTTTTCTTAGTGTGTGGTACCACTCTTAGTAGTTATTACCTTTGTCAGATATGTTACTTTAAGACCTTTATGTCTATTCCTCTAATAAACTGTTCTTTAACGTAATACCATTTTTATGAGGCATCTGTATTTGTGTACTACACTCTGAGTCTCTTATTGCTGACTGCTCTTTGCTACTATTTGTGGTGTAGAGGTTGAATAATATGTGGGGGTGAATGGAATATGGGGAAGATTGTGGGGAGGGAGGGAGTTTGAGAGATGAGAGGAAGAGGGGATAGATTTAGAAGAAAAAAGGAGGGAAGTACATGTAGAGGGGGAAAGTGAAAGGGGCAGGAAGAGGTAAAGGTAGAGGAGGTGGCAGAGGGAGAAAGGGAGGAGAAGAAATAGACAGGGCAAAAGAGGGATTGCTATACTGTAAGAAAATATCCATGGAAAATAAGAGGTGGTAAACAGGATAGAAATAAATGGAGAGATTGAGGGGAAGAAGTTGATGGATGTGGATGAGTTGGGACAGATTAGAGGAGGATATATAGGTAGAAATGGAAAGGAATAGAGAACCAGAGGTGGAGGGAGCAGGGAAAAGGGAAAGGAAATGTATAGAAGAATAGGTTGAGTATGAGAAAAAAAAATGGCTGTTGCACACTATATCAACAATACCAGGACCTTGATTCAGAGTGGGCAGAGAGAGGGTAATGTGTTCTCACACCACAAGTTATAAGCTAGTAGATTACCATACACATCTGACCCTCTTAGCCACATTTATGGTTACATTGTTCTTTTTTATATTTTTATTTAACCTTAGTGTAGCCAACCTAAACTTTGAATAAAATAAGAGCATATGTATATTTGCAGGAAGCATTACAAAAAAGGAAGCAGTGAATTGCACAAAAAATGAGTATAGTAGAATGAGGATAAGCTGAAAATGGATGGGAGATGAGATGAAGGAAGAAGGGAGGAACATTCATACAAGCACCTCCAGGACTTTCTTAAATGATGGGAAGGAAGATGATGGT